GAGAAAGAACCTGATGGATCAATAACCCAACTTTTTTTATCCAAATAATCATGATCCAAGTGTACCAACAGGCCTTTGGTCCAATGGTACTCCTTATCTTATGAAGGTTTTGTCTTCTTGAGGTCAAGGTTCAAGTCTCTCCTCCCCCTCCCCTCCTATTCCCACTCCCACTCCCAAAAAAAAAAAAAAATATCTAGGTTTTGTTGGTGCAAAATTTGCCCAATCTCCACGTCGGTTAGAATGAACTATGTTCGCCTTGGTGTCAACTTTCTTGTGGTTTAAATCAACTCTCCAAGGCTCCAAATGAGATTTTCGAAGTGCAGGCAGCCCTAAAAATAAGTCGCAGCCCTCTAATGCTCAAGTCACTAACTACTGAAAGCTGAACGACAATGTTTAGGGACAGAGTTACGCACCTTGGGCGTTTCCCATGGGCTCCCTTTTATAGTTGGAAGCCGGTGTTTGTAGGGATCCTCTAGGATGAGAGGTCTCAACTCCTTTCCCTCCAAGATATGGTTGTTGATTCAACTTGGGAGGTTTTTGATTTTCGAATAGCGGATAATCCTATCTCCTAATCCTAGTTCGCAAGCTAGGCAGGTATGGCTGAGCTAATTACTATAACTGGCGCAGCTACTAACTTTCCCCACTCCCATTGGAGATCGACATTCTTCCCAACAGTCAAGGATCAAAATTTCGTTTCGAAACAGTTGAAACGTCCAAAACGTTTCCATTTTCAAGGAAACTGAAACAAATCAGTAATGAATCAAAATTCTAATATTCTGAGGTATTCCATAATATTTCGAGATGTTTTGTAATATTTCAATGTATTTATACAATTATTTTGGAATATTTCAAGGTATTTGAAAATATTTTAATATATTTCGACCAATATTTTGAAAAAATAATTTTTAAATTTTTTTTTTTTATTATATTTCTGAAACAGATTGAAACATTTTTGTTTCCTAAGTGATTGAAATAATACACTGAAACGAAATTTTGATCCATGACAACGGTAACTTTTTAATTAGGCGACCTTTAGTATAGCTTTCCCAATAGCATAATTAATTTTCCCTCATTAGCTTTAAACACAGAAAGAGGTGATCAAGTCCAAGTTTCTATAAAATCCAAAATTCCAAAAGACTAGATCAGAACTAGTTCCTATCCTAGAAGCAATAAAAGCACTATGTTAACAAGATGATACGATAAAGATGAGCAAACAACACAATAACTACAACTCCCCCAATCTAAATATCCTCCAAGAACCGAACGCTCATCTCATTTCCCACAAAAAATTATCTTTTTGAGAAAAAAAATTCGAAAAAATGAATTTTTATGCACATCAAAAACTTTCACTTTGAACCCCATTAACATCCCAGCCATCGGGCATGTAAACCATATTTGTTTCTGATAACAAATGCCACTGCAAATTTTGGTCTAACGCAAATCTCAAGAGCCATTCCTCAAACTTTTATTTTAACCTCTTAACTGGAAAATAAGTGCAAAGCGACATTTTTAGGATAATCAGATACCTTTCTAATTAAAAACTCACACCTATTGCAATGGTTTTATAGAAAATTTCCAGCATGAAACCATAAACTGCTGGATGTATTTTTTTCATCTGCCAATTAAATACAAAAAATCAAAATTTTATTAGTTCTTACTAAATTCCAAGAGGATTTTTAAGTAAAAGCACCAACCAGAGATTGGTGGCAGCAAGCTAAAATATCATCCAGCTAACATAGGAGTCTCATAAACTCAATATTTTCCAACTTTATAGCAACAAACTTTTGTTAGAAGAGCGAAAAGTAAAAAAAGATACAATGGAGGACAAGACATCCTTCCAAAGTTCATTGCAAATAGGACAAGAGAAAATACACCAAAACTATCCAAACCAAAAAAAACCGTATGCCACACAATAATCTCTTGGCTGACATAATGTAAAAAAAGGCGGCCATCAAACTTGGGTCACCAAAGTCGACAAGGATTCCAAAAAAAATGAGCTATATCCAATAAGCAATCATCAATCTCACGATAGAAACTCTAACAATCCACTCCAACCAAATGATCTAGAAAGTTGAAGGAATTCCACAATTTCAAAGAGTGGAAGTTCGTGTATCCCTTCCAACGTCCTTTATTCCACAAACATAGAGATGCAAAGGCAGAGCCTAGTAACCATCCAACTCATTCCTACCAAATGGAATAACTTCCACCACTGTCCCAAAGCAGGACAGTGCAGGAAAAGAGGGCCAATACTTTCACACTTTCTTCTAACAATACAACAAAGTGGTACAAACAAGCATAAGCAAATCATTATTATTAATCCAAGCATGAGCAATTATCCATGCACACATTTGAACTTCAATGGGCACCTTTATCTTCCAAATCATCAAAGATGGAGAAAAAAGTGGGGAGGCAAAATTGCCAATCAAAAATTTGAAGAATGATTTGCAAGAGAACAACCCAACAACTTCTCTTAGAAGACCCAGGATTAGGAGAGAACTCACTGATATATTACAGAATAGAACACAATTCTTAATTTCTCAATCATTAAGATTTGTAGAAAAGCTGAGATTCCAATTGGTTGGCGAGCAAGAAGACAAAATCATATAAGCAATTGAGATGTAATGTGCATCTCATAAGGGATAGCTACAAGACCAATGAAAAGCTAAAACCAAAAGGAATATCCATCAAACTCAACATCTTCTAACTTAGCATCTTTTGAGAAGCTAAAAGAAATATCCATCAAATTTCTAATATTGAATACTAACAATGTTGCACCAAACCACTAAAACATACGATGTTGTCGAACCAATAAGCATGTACAATCTTGAGCCCATAAAAGCCACAACTCATGTCAAACACCTCTGTATTGCAATAAATTAAAGTGCAATAACAATAATTTATTACTATGACAATCAAGGTGCACTGAGCTCCCCTCCCCTCCCCTCCCCTCCGTTAGCTGCCATTAAAAATGACTAGCTCCTACTGTTGTTTTCAAGAAAACAAAATAATAATAACATGAACCTTTGATTGCCAAAAGACTTAAAGTGGTCCCAAGGCCTCCTTCTTCTACCTACTGCTACTTCCAACCAGCACCTACTATCCATCACCAGCATCACCCAATATACAGCTAGGCAAACTCGTGTATAGAATATAGCTACATTATACACACACTCCATATATTATGTATACACCCCAATTATTCCAGAAGGAAAGAGAATTCTAGACCTTTTGAAGATGCAAGATTATTGTCTCAAAGATGGAAAGACTTATGGAACTAAAACCATTGAGCTAGGGCTTTACGAGTGGAATCAATAGTACAAGATCACGCTCCACTTCTTAACAAGCATTTCGCCACCAAAGAGACAAGATAAAAGCATTCTTGGTTGGGTTTGTATATCAAGTTTGGCATGCTTGCTCAAGTGGACCCATGGACTCAATTTGCAACAAACCAAAAAGTGGAAAAATTGCATCTTAGCTTATGTGTGAGTTATGACCCCACGTTAGGACTGGTCACGCTAAGGCTGAGATGTATGTCATAGAATTGTCCAAGTCCATATACATACCCTTTATAAATTAAAAAAACTAATAGTTCCGAGAGAGGAATGGAAATTCTGGAGAGAGAGCATTGATAAAATGGGTGATATTGAAGGACTACCACATTGAATACAACATTTATGATGATTTGACCATTGATGGTATATGGCTTCAAAAAATGGGAGGTGCCTCTTTCAAACATAGCTCTATGCCTTGGTGGTGTAAAGTGAATGATGATGATGAGGGAGGTAGGTGATGGTGATTTGGCGGGTGTGGATGTTGCAGTGATGATGTGATATCATCTAGACGTGTTCGATTGTTGTGATTTGGTGGAGGTTGTGGTGGTGGTGGTGTTTGGGGTTGGTAATGCTATAACGGGCTTCGATGGTGGTCTGAGAAGGAAGTGAAGGAAGAGTGAAATGGTGGTGGTCCACTCGTTTGGATGGGTTTAGCGTTTGACAATGGTGTTTAGCAATATTGGTGCTTGCCGTTTTCGAGGTGGGTGACCAGTGAATGACCACTAAAGGGTGGGAAAATAACTTGTTAAGCAATGAACAAGGTAAACAAGTCATTGGATTCTGGCAATGTGGGGTAACGTAGTCATTCGATGTCTTCCACTGACACTGTTAATTGATACCATATAATACAGTTGCCCATTGTTATTACTCAAATCACAGGTGTATTAGTGTTTTCAGGTCAAACCTCAGAGTGATGCATTAACACTTAAAACAAAGATCATACATGAGATAGTTCACCAAACAAACACAAAGTTCATTACGGTCCAACAAAAATGCAGCGGATAAAATACCATCAAACAACGAAATGTCAAAACAAATGCCTCTCAATCCAATAATTTCCTCTGCCACAATAAAATAAAAATAAAAATTCACACCATTTTTTAAGAAGAAATTTCCATTTTGAAGAACTAGTTGTCACAATCTTGACCAAATAGCCAAACCTTTATAACATATCCGGCAGTATTGTGGGTGGGGGAACAAACAGATTAAACCTCCGCAAGATTTGATAAACCCATGACCAAAAAAAATTGAGAACATTCAATAATGAGTCGTACCATTTTCAGGAAAACAAAAATGACCATTACCAGAATCGCAAATTACATTGCATGCCAATTAACAATTTGAACAAATATTCACAAACCACAATAACTAAAAAGATAAAAGATAAACCCGTGTGAAATATATTGAAGTCTATCAATTTCCAAGGAAAAATGAAAAAAAAATATAGAACACAAAACAAAACGAGCAATACCACAATTCTTTACAAACCACGCAGATCAATGATCAGCCAAAAACCTACATTAATGGCAATCAACTCCATGCATTTCAAGTCCAAATTAACATCAAAATCAAATCACAACTATTTCGACAAAGTATTACAACTACCTTCTCAACCACAGTGCTTTACCAGATTCAAAAGCGTCAACGATTAAAAAAACGCAACAATACCTGCCCTGACCCCAGAAGCACCAGCCTTTTTCAAACCCTTCTTCTTGACGATAAAGCTAGCACCAATGAAGAAACTCGAAGAAACGGCCAACACCAAGCCCTTTATGTTGTCAGAGGATATGCCTTTGTACGCGTTTGACCAGCTTGTTGACTCCTCTGAAGCAGTCTCCATATATAGTGCCCAAAAATCCCAATAACCCTCTTCTTTAGCACAAAAAATACATCAGCAATAGCCTTTTCTTCCATTCCATCATACCCATTAAGATCCACAGTTCACTTTCTGCTTCTCATTCTAAAGCGAGGGAAAGTTTAGTATTCGGGGGAGTTATGCAATGGAATAGAGATCCTGATAGGAAAAACGACGGTTTAAGAAACGCCTACTGTTGATTACCAAGAAAGTTTGACGAGATAGAAAGAGACAGAAGGGGTAGAACAGTGCGTCTCGTTTGTTTCTTACAGGAAAGAGAGATAGTAACTGCACTAGTTGTTCGTTAAACTCATCTATTATATTCCTACTCCAAAATTACATTAAGGTCCCTGTAAAATATATTAATTACAAGGACACCCTCCTTATTTTTTGAAATAGTACAGATAATCTTTAAGAATTTTTGTTACTAACAGAAGCCACGAAATATGTATCTATTGCTCATAATAAAGGGAGAGTGGATACGTTGTTCACTCTACATGAATTATCTATGATACCCCAATTTTCTTCTTCTTTAAACTACACAACTCCTTTTTGAACCAAACTCAACCACTTATGCCATTATAAGTTTATCTTTTTTGGTTTTGTCTCACTCTTATATCTCTCTCCCTTTCCCTATCTCCCTATCACTCCTTTACAATCACTATGCATGTGATCATGATACTGACCTTAGAGAGAGGGGATAGGGTAGTTGGACACCACCACCACCCTCCCCGATACCCTCTCTCCTTCTCCGTTGAGACTCTATCTTCTTACTTGAAATTTTTTTTTTTTTGACAACTTGGGGTTAGGAAAGGGCACCATTTACTCCATTCCGTTCTAAAGTCAAAAATGACAGGATAGGCGGCCCCTACCCTCCTCTTGCAACCCCTCTGCCCTACCATTGACTACCCTTGCCATTTTCACCTAAGCATGTTCCTATGGTTAGCACTAAACCTAACTTTTCATTAATTGCTACAAGTAAAATCCATATCCTAATTGGGAATCAACTCAACTCACGGTAATATTGTGAAAACCACACTCATCATTGGATTTAACTAGTTTTCTTCTATAAATCTATACCTATACTTCTACTAAAAGACAATTAGAATGAAAAACTTTAATTTTCCTCATCTGTCCTTGGTTTATCTTAAAAAGCCAATTTTAGCGTTACTTTAATTGTTATAACTTACAACAATTGTTCGTCTTTTAGGCTCTAAAAATGCCAAGAATAGGACTTAGCTACTCACTGATCTTAAAAAGTCATCAAATGCATTCAGGTTTATGCTATTCCATCAAATACCTCCATTAGACATGACAATGATGGATTATATCTATTGTGCTAATTTTTTTCTTAATCTCAATTCTTCTTTAGAAAATAAAATGATCCAAGTCTTTTTGTACCCTACTTTTCAGCTTTTATATTTTCTGGGCTATTTTTAACTTGCTATTTATGAGGTTGCATGGGGGTGCATCCCAGCAATTGTCTTGGGCAGGTACAACATTTTGATTTTTCCCCTTCATGGGTCCTTCTTTTGTGCAATTCTATTTATGTGAATTTAATTTCAATGGGGTTTTCTATGGCAATGAGTCATCGAGTTTCTGTTCAAAGGAATTATGAAAAGGTTGTTGATGCTTATCTGTTCAGCGGGCTGCTGTTCTCATCTGACATTGTGTTGAACAATGATATGCATTGGGTGGCATTGCATAATGGATGTAATTTTTGGTATGTGCAGAAGTTATTGATAAAACAGTAGGACTATAATGCTAAACACCATTGCAATTAAGCTGTTGTAGATGCTGAATAGATAATCAGAATCTTGATTCCTTTTTTTAATGGTGGTTCACATAGTCAACATACATATATTCAAATACCCTGCGTTTGGAAAAGGTGGTGTATCACATATACAATTGCTTTGATAACGATTTCGCATATAAATATAGATAATGAAGTTTGAAAATCCTCATATAGTCACAATTATTATTAGTGTTAATAGTAGTAGTACCAAATATTAGATCGAATCTTGGAATTTTATGGCATGTAAAATCCTGTATCAATTGAAATGGAAAATCTTGCCTTTGGTCGTCATTTTCTTTGCACTGCCCATATTGAACATGCCAAACTTGTTTGTGTTTGATTTAGATGCATAAGGAATGCTTGATGTGCAAATTTGTAGGCAGTTGATCTCCGTGAGTTGTTGATGTTATGCTTCTAAAGATATCTTTACAGTTGAGTAACCCACCACTCAATGTCATGATTCACACTTCACTGCTCAAGGGCATCCTATCACAATTAATTTACATTAATTGGTTTACTCAAATACTCCAGCACTGAACTAGGGTAGATGGGTTGGAAATAGGAACTGGGTGTTGCATAAATCTTGTTTTCTAGAGGATGCTGCAAAAATCTTGAGGAAATTGAGTAGTAAAGGTGGTGGGGAATGTGTACAAACACAATGAACTAGTGATGGCTGTGGTGCTCATCTACAGCGAAGGCATGGGAGAGTGCACCATATCATATTAAGAAGAGACATCAGTGTTGCACGAACTCACCACCATTCCACACTTACAAGCACACATACGAAAAACTGTCATTACCGCACATAAAATCACACACCATCAAATAAATAGCCACTGCCATTGTCACTGTAAGTCACCACACTACCAATAGGCTAGTTCATGGGCCGGGTTCCCTACGGCCTGATGTGCCCTTGTAGAATCTTGTCCGCTATCTCGTTCGGCCTGAAACGATCTTCACTTGCCCAACCCCTAGTACTCACGTTGTTTTTCCTAAGCTGCATCATGGCCTAAATTTCGACCCGTAAACTCGCCTAAGACGCCTACCCACTATACAACTTTTATGTTATAATTTTTTTTTAAATTCATCTGCCATATACACATAAAGTTGCGATTTTTAAGATTATAAGCTAACAATCCATAATTAATATAAGTGATAATTCATAAGTTATGAACTTTTAAGTTGTAAATTACAAACTTTGCAGTATTTTTTCTATGTTTTAATAAAAAGGAAAAAGCATGCGGGCTGGCCCGTCCAATAACTCGTCTGATAGCTATAGTCATGGTCAATAGTGCAAAACCCATTACATGCATCCCAACCCATCAACTTCATGCAGTCAGGCTTGGCCTGGTCGGGAACAGTTTTGTTGTTTTGCGCCTGGTCTGGCCTGTTGGAACCCCAACCTACCACCAATCAACCACCCCCTTATATTTAATAGGGTGCAACTCAACCCTAATCTAACCTTGAGTATATAATTTTCAACCTTAATTTTAACTCTAAACTTACCTTGGATTGAGGGACTCAACTCGAGCACTGCCCGAGTTTTATTGGTCAGACTTGGGTTAATGATTTCGAGCTATTTTACGGGTTTAATTCGGGTTTAATCTAAAATAAACTTGTTGTTCTAAACCCGATACATATATTACATAATATTCATCTAAATTAATAACCAATAACTTCAATCAAGTTTTTAACATGAAAACCATAATATTAAGAACTCAATGTTTGAGATAATGCAACCACAATCATACAGAACACAAATAAACACAACTAGAATTCTTGTACAAATGTAGAGTTCACTGCTTAAATAATGAGTGAGAGAGGCGCACAATGAAAACGTCAGGACAGATTAACCCTAGACTTACAAATGTATTTATATGGTTATGAATATTCGGGTTGAACCTGAATATTAAATCGAGTTGAACCCGATTTTAATATTCAAGTTCAACCCGGTAATCCGAGGAGTCAACCCGAGGTCCACCCAACTTGAATTCAGGTTGAGGTTTTTTGACATAAACCCAACACAAGTATTAAAAATCCTAGCTTAAGTCTTAATTTTTTCGGACTAGACTCAAGTTAAAATCGGATTAGCCCGCCCAAGTTACATCCTTAATATTTAAACACAAAACTTACAGACATGGTCAACTTGTTACAAATAATGTAAACCTACCACTACCAACATACGTAATGCTAACCAACTGGATATTGGCCAGAACCTCTGACTTTTCAGTGGGAGGTCAAGGATTCGAAGTTTTCTGGGTGCAAAAGCGTAACTGTTTGGTAAGATAAGCCCTCAGTTACTTGAATAAACCGTATCCAAGTCTTTGGTGTGGGTCTTGAATCTCAAAAAAAATACAAGTCCTGATTTAAATGGTGTATGAGTTAAGGAACTGGTTCATACTCTGGACTTTGTCTTTAGTTCTACTTAAAGTTACGAGTTTGATCGACATAAGCACGCCTCGCTGAGAACAGACAATGAATTTTCTCCATTTCCAAAAAAAAACATACGTAATGATTTAGGCTAATTGTATGCAATATATTGATCGCTTTGGGATGTCCTTCATGGTTTTAAAATGCATCACAACAGTGAAGATAAAGTTTCGACGTGGTTTTAAAATGCATCACAACAGTGAAGATAAAATTTCGACATATATACTTCAACGACCTTCGATAATTAGGCAATTTATGACAAATTAATGTACCAAACACCTCACCCTTTCGCAGGGATCTTGGATTGTTAGATGGCTAAACTTTCAGCTTTTACAAGTACCTCAAGCTCATTCTTGTGGCGCCCACTCATCTCCAAATGGGACTTGCTCTACCATTACAAGGCAGGTCTGGATCTAATATCACTTGTAATGACTTGACCAAACTAAATGTGATATTGTTCACTTTGGGTTCCACATCTCGGCTTTAAAATACATCACATTAATAAAAACAGAGCTTTTTATATCTATATAGAGCAATAACCTTTTCTAACTAGACGATATGGGATAAGTTCATGGACTAAGCACCTCACCAACCTTCTCACATCAATCCTCAGCTAGTAATGAAGCTTTAAGATATTTGTTACACCCCTAAGACGATCTAGTAATGAAGCTTTAAGATATTTGTTTGTCATGAGGGTGGAGGCTTTCATCGGAACAGGGGATGCATGGAAAACTATCTTTTCATTTGGAATTGCCTTCTC